CCCCCCCCCCCCCCCCCCCCTTCAAAAAAAAAAAGAAATATAAAATATCTTTATTCTTATCCTAAACCCTCATTTGATTAAATTAAATTAAATACACCAAAAGTATTGGAAAACACAACTTAACTCTCATGGAGAAAAAGCCAGAGAGGAAGGTGGGTCAGTTGGGAATTATTGTACAAATTGTAATTACCTTATCCCCACTTGCAGATTCCATTGTTATTTCCCCCCCCCCCCAAAAAAAAAATTCCATTCCTATATAAATACTCATTCATGTTATCCTTCATCACCATAACTCAAAACACACAGTTTCCAAACTCCCAAGCCTTCTTCAATCTTATTGAACAATGGTTCCACCTGAATTTCTTCACCCTTCATGGCCATATTCTTCTACAATTAACATAAGTTCATCCCTTCATGAACCTCATGATCATGATTATGGATTTTACATGGATGCTCATATCAATCACTCCGAATTCTCTTATCCTTTCACCACATTGGAGGAGGAACCCTCTGTCGTAGCTTTGTCGATGCCATCATGTCTTGCAACCATGTTTTCCGATCACAATGACTACCCGGGTTTTCCGGTGCTTAGCGATGGACTGCAAGTCACATTGCCACCCATTGATCAATCACTGGATTTGGAGGAATTTGATCCCATCTTGAATGGTGAAACCGCTGCAATTTCTGTATCCCTGGAGAAAAATGAAAATTTTCTTCATTCCCAACATTCACCAATTGATGGACAAACCAACTTGGCCTGTAGCTACTCCATGGATTCCAGCGATATATCGATGGACTTGAGCTCCATCCCACAATCACTGACCTTGCCCACCGAGGACACGGAGATCGAGAATCAACTGAGTGTAGTTCATCTAGTCCTGGCTTATGGGGAAGCCATGGACAATGAACAAACTGAGCTTGCAGAGGTTATCACGAAACGAATGAGTGACAAAGTTAGCCCGGTTGGTGAAATCGTGGAACGTCTGTTGTATTATTTGTTTCAACCATTGGACAAACAATCAGAATACCTTAAACAAGAGTCGGCCAAAAACTTTTATACAGCTTTTAAAGCATTTTACCAAATATTCCCATATGGGAAGTTTGCTCATTTTGCAGCCAACCTGGCTATCCTAAAGGCCATGCCTCCCAATGCAGAGATCGTACACATCTTCGACTTTGACATGGCAGGAGGGATTCAATGGTCTTCGATGATCGAGTCATTGGGACGTCAAGGAAGGGAGCTCAGGTTGATATCAACAAAATGGGGTGACGAAGATTCTTGTAATCATCCCTCGCCATGGAGGTTTGAGGAGACAAAGACGCGACTCTATGATCACGCATCATCTTTTGGACTGAAATTGAAGGTAGACGAGATGGATCTGCATGATTTCATTAGCAAGATAAAGCAAATGAATAGAGAGTGTGGGAGGAGAGAGTGGTTTGCGTTTAATTGCATGGTTGGACTTCCACACATGGGAAGGTTGAAAAGGAGGAGAGATGTCATGAAATTTCTAATGGTGGCCAAGGAATTCTTTTCCCAAACAGCACTTTGTAATGGTAATTACCCAGGAATCATTATTTTAGGTGATGGAGATGTTTGGGAGAAATTAAAGAGTTTCTCTTCCAGTTTCGGTTCATTCTTAGATGGGTATTTGGTACACTACCAAGCATTGTTAGAATCAATTGAAAGCAATTTCCCAGTTCATCTTGGAGAAGCCAGAACTGCTATGGAGTGTCTCTTTGTGGCACCTTTTGTCTCTTCTCTAGCATTGTTGGAAAAATGGGAGGAGATTAGGGAATGTTGTGATGATTTACAATCAAGAGTTGGGTTTGAGGGTTGGAAAGTGACCAGAGAGAGCTTAATGGAGGCAAAGGAAATGGTAAGGGAAGGGGAGAGTCTATATGGGGTGAGGATTGAAGGAGAGAATGACAATGAGATGGCATTGGAATGGAGAGGAATTCCATTGGTGAAAGTTTCTTGTTGGAGGAACTGACTTAGAAACAAGAAAAGAACAGTGACCAAGAGAAATAAAACAGGATAGGAAGAACAGAGGAGAAGGGTAAGTATTCAGTAGGACCACTATCAGATACGTAAACAAAATTTTGGTTGTGAGTAATTGTACAACAACCACTAGGAAATTGTATACAGGATATTTTGTGGACTAAATGAATTGTTTTCATATTTATTAATTCCTCTGTTATTGTTCTCCATTTTCATAACCCCCCCACCCCCCACCCAAAAATAAAAAACAAGGGCTTGTTCTCTACTCTATCAATGACAAATGAAGAGTAACCAAAGTGAAATGTTAGAAGAAGATCTATCACTTCAGCAATTCTACAATAAGGAAGAAAAAATGATTGACAAAGGAAAACGAGTCCACCCGAAACTAAGAAACTCGTAATAAGAAAGTGATTCAATGAAAACGAATTTCCAACCAACCAGAAAGGAGGAGGAAGAGGATCGGTTGAAATGGCTAATGATTCTTTTCAATCCCCATGTCCACCACCTAAACCACACTATCATTTCTCTTTATCGTGAACTTCCCGCAAATGCCAAAAAGAAGATAAAAAAGACATCAAAAATTGGCCAATTAACCACCAATCAGCGGCGCATAAAGCTTAACATAGTTTCTCAGAATAGCAGGCCACCAACATAACGTCGCCCTAATGCTGATAATTAAGAATGACATNCTTCCCGCAAATGCCAAAAAGAAGATAAAAAAGACATCAAAAATTGGCCAATTAACCGCCAATCAGCGGCGCATAAAGCTTAACATAGTTTCTCAGAATAGCAGACCACCAACATAACGTCGCCCTAATGCTGATAATTAAGAATGACATTTTTCGACCAAATCAGATCAAGAATACAAATTCATTGATCCAAAGACTTACATCTGCAATATAAAAGACACAAGCATACATGATCTTGACCCTCTTTCGAATACCAACACCCTTGACTTTTACCAAAACAAGGAAAAAGAGGCCGATTTCCTAAAAAAAAAAAAAAGAAAGAGCAGTTTAAGAAACAAAAGTTTCACACACAAACCGAAAAGGCGCGCCCAATCATGCCTTGTGTCCAAGTTGCAGTCTCCTTGAGCTGTTCATCATCGGATTGAAGACACTCACCCAATAATTCCGTGCAAAATGAGCAATCTTTGAACAACATCTTTATGTTTGACCCAAGAGCATCTGCTAGATCACCCAAAACTGCAACTGCGGCTTTTGTTACGCTCTCCTCCCTACAAAACACCATTGTAATAAGTCCATGAGTATAAGCAGTAAATGCATAAAATAAGAAAATTGGCGAAAAGACAAAAGCGTAGCAGCCATCCCTATTACCTTTGTTGGTCTTTACAAACCACTTCCATAAACTGCAAGAGATGGGGAGCGTAGGGCAACATCAAATCAGGCTTAGAATCCTTGAATCCCTGCAGAATTCCAGAATAGGCCTCAAATATGCTGCGCTTAAGCTGGTTGCCATATTCCATCATCTCCTCATCAGTGTCATCCATCTGGGCGCACACCTCAGCAGCACTCTGCATCATGGGTAGTGCATAATTTATGTACTTTTCAAAGTGTGCTCCAATTGCGAGAGCAATATCCCCAAAGCAAGAGAATATGGGAGGCTTGACTGACCGGTTTAGTTCACCACTCTTGAGATCATTGATGAGGTGAGTCATGATCCCATCACAATATGGTAGGATCTTGTCATCCAAGGCACGGCAAATGTCACCAACCACCCCAACGGAGATGGCACAAACCTGGTATTCCCCAAAATTCTGCAGACCCATGTCCAAATACTTGTAGAAATCTTGCATGTAATTCTCAAAATGTTGCCCAGTGGCATATGCCAAGGCACCAATAGCAAGCATAGCTTCTTCATGCACAGTAGAGCTGCGGCAAGCAAAAACCTGAAGGAACAGCCTCATAATATCATCAGCAGCCTGGAGTATGATAGATTTGGTCTCATCAATACTGCTAAGCTTCTGAATAATAACCTGAAGGACACCACAAAGAGAAGCTTGCAGATCTCCTTGCTTTTCTCTATCATCAGATGATACAATCTGAAGCTCTATTGTTTGCTTCAACTTACCCATGATAACACGGAGAAGCTCTATTATGATCTGAGACGTTTCCAAAAGATTGGAACACCTAACCACTTCATTTAGAGTCTCGTATGCGGAAGACCTCAGCTTAGAGTCACAGCCATCAGTTCGGTCAGCAGTGGCAATAAGACAACCTATAAGATCCGTAAGGTACGGTGTAAGCATAGAGGAGCTTGTCCCAGCATCCTCGTAGCCCTGAGCAAGGTAATAGATTGCTCCACAAACTTTCTCAGCTACATGGGGAGCATCCTTAATGCTCTCCAACAAGACTCCCACAATACGTTGGAGGTTGGCCGGATTAATCACAGAAAATCCAGAAGATGGGCTGTGCAATAACTCAAATATACGACTAAGAGTCCAAGCAGTTGTGTCCTTCACGTGACTGTTCTCATCCCTCATTGCATTGAGCAGGAATTCCAAGCCTGCATGGACCATTGGAGAGAGTTTCTCAATGCTTGGGCCTTCAAGGATTGAACCGAATGCATAGGTAGATGCCTCACGAGATCGCCAATCCATCTTCAATATGTTAGCCTCCACAAAAGGCATAACAAGGGGCACTATAGCATCGCCAACCGTCCTAGCAACAAGACCAAGACATGTGCCACCTGCCATAGCCAAATTCCAGATGCCATCATCCTGATCATGATCCTCATCCTGTTTCAGTAAAGTTTCAAGCAACATTGGAACTAAAGATGATNCCAAGACATGTGCCACCTGCCATAGCCAAATTCCAGATGCCATCATCCTGATCATGACCCTCATCCTGTTTCAGTAAAGTTTCAAGCAACATTGGAACTAAAGATGATAGAGCCTTCTCAATGAAGCAAGAATGAGGAGGAACAGAACTCCCACTCTCAGGAACCTCAAAGTCTTGAAGTTCTATCTCTTCATCACAGATAGAGCTCCAGAACTCGATTGCTTGAAGAGCAACAGCCTCTTCATCTCCTTTAACTGCATTTGATGTGAGCTCAAAGATAGTCTGCATATAAGGGGCAAGCACATCATAGTATGTTGATGCTATTGAAACAAGACATTCAAAAGCAGCCTGTCTAATCTCTGACTCTTTGTCCATGGCCGTCTCACAAACCACCTTCATAATATAATTCCGCTCCATCTCATTCTCAAAGTTANCATAGTATGTTGATGCTATTGAAACAAGACATTCAAAAGCAGCCTGTCTAATCTCTGCCTCTTTGTCCATGGCCGTCTCACAAACCACCTTCATAATATAATTCCGCTCCATCTCATTCTCAAAGTTAGTCTGTGCAAAATCGAGTGCATTGAACAAAGCCCTGGTTGCTGCAAGGCGGACTTCAGGACTTTGTTTGGTAACCTTCATGCCTTGAACCACAGCAGTTAGGACAGAATTCACTTCATCTTGCACAAGATCCTGATGAGATATCTCCTCACACACATAACCAAGTGTCTCCAAGGTTGCCTGTTTGAATGATGCGGATCTATCTTCCTGGGTCATATTGACAAGCAATGATCCAATGAGTTCTGGCCAGTGCTTCTGCGGAATTTCAATTGAAGCAATTTTGGCAATTACTTGGGCAGCAGTGTGGCTTGCCTCACGGACAGAAGTTCCAAGGGTGTTCAAAAGCAAGCCTTTGATTTGTGATTTGAACAAATTTTCAATTTTCACCCACTGTTGAACAAGTTGTTCCTTCATGGTGGCATCTTTAGCATCCAATGAATTCTTAAGCACGATACCAGCTAGCCTGCGAGACTCAGTCGGTTTGGCATCATTGGAGAGTTCAACTGACAAGGATAGGAGAAAACCTGGTAGGTTTTGCTCTTGGAATAGCCTAAGGTTACCCTCTGCCTCAGTCCGGACCTCTGCATCTGCTGATTGAGCAGACATTAGAAACTGGGTGATCTCCATTGCCATTCCCCCTATGCAGCAGAAAAGATGTTAAATAGAATCAAAAACCATTTAAACACAAACACATGTAATATCTGAATGCCAGGACACACCATACATCCAACTAATGAAATCCTTGAAAAATCATCATACTAAAATATTCACAGGGGAAATAGCAATAAGATGGCACTACAAGCACCATTTGATGTTTGAAAGATAGACTACGGAGAGGGTACCCAAAAAACCAGATATACTACAAAAGTGTTTGACCATCCATGTCCGTCAACTCACATCTCTCTCTACAAATACCAAAATTGGGTCCCTCTCTAGTTTAGGTAGTCAAAGCTCCAATAANAAAAAACCAGATATACTACAAAAGTGTTTGACCATCCATGTCCGTCAACTCACATCTTTCTCTACAAATACCAAAATTGGGTCCCTCTCTAGTTTAGGTAGTCAAAGCTCCAATACGTCAAGCAACTTATTATGAATATGACATGCCAGTTAAATATCTCATCAAATATGAATCGCAATAACATGAAGCCTTGTCCATCAGTGACCAATACATTTCGTATAATGATTGACTTCTCTTCAAACAAATATGATCACCACTCCATTTTCTTCACAAGTAGTTTACTAAAGAATCTTGCAAAAAGAGAAAAAAAAAAAAAGTTGTNCAAACAAATATGATCACCACTCCATTTTCTTCACACGTAGTTTACTAAAGAATCTTGCAAAAAGAGAAAAAAAAAAAAGTTGTGGAAGTATGTAAATCACCTCAACATTCATCTGATTCAACAAAAAAATATTCCCAGAAAAGCTTCCACCCCCACCCCTTACAATTTCACCAAAACGGTAAAATCCAATTTATTCCCAGACCTCAACTTCAAAACATTCCCCTAATATATATCTTAGAGAACTATTCTCCGCTGTATCACACAGAGCTTAAACCCTTGGTACAATGCCGAAAAAACAACAATCGGAAACAGATGTATATGCAATGTCAGTAAGATGCACATATCATGCAAGGAAACGGCGCTGAGAACAAATCCCCAATTAATAAACACGAATTCCAATAGAAATGACTGTAAAACCCTAGAACAGTACCACTAAAAAAACGGTTAACACACAGTACATTTCCTCATAGAACAGAAAATCCAAAGCCCTATAATTTCAAAATAGACACACAAATATTACCTTATACGAAAAAAAACCCCACCAAATCGAAGAGACTTCGACTGCTTACAGAAGACACGAAATCCACGAGCTAGGATTTCTTTCCCTCTCCTCTCTCTATCTCTCCCTCACTAATCTGAATCGGAAGTGAAAGAGAGATTCGGACTCGGCAATCGAATGGCGACTCTATGAACAGAGAATTGATACAGATGAGCGAGAATATATAGAAAGCTATTTCGAATGCTTGGAAGAAGCGGGACGGGAAGGATTGCAGAGAAAAATGAAACGGGCAGTGCCTCGATGTTTGCCCGAACTGCCCGTGATCGCTGACCTATGAAACCCTAATGTTTTTTGAAATCTCGCACGTTTGAGAGCGTGGTCCAGTTGTGCAACACGTGTCGTGTGACACGCAGTTGTTGGGCACTTGGGTTGCCATGAGAATGAGAATGAAAATGGGATGGCCCATTTTCAACCCAATAATTATTCATTTTTACCCCTATTTAAATCTTTATTATTATCAAATTATTAAATTCACTTATTCTATACTCACCCCGGGTTACTAACTAAATTCATCTTATACTATATACACTATTTTAATAAGTAAACCTATTTTCTATCTTCTCACCTCTAAGATTTCCTTCACTATCCCATTTTATACACTTTACACAAAAATAATTTTTTAATATAAATTTTTCTAATGAGATACATGTTAATATTATTTTTTAATTTTATTTTATATTTGATTTCGTGTGTGTCGTGTGAATTTTTGTTTAGTTATCAATGAAGGTTGTGCTATCAGAGGGACCAGACTTTGATTTCGTTGGGAACGATTTGATTTCAATATCACATGAGATAAGATATCAAAGTTTAAAACTTTTGGATTAGGATAAAAAACATTTGGGTTAAGTTATAACACAAAATGTTGGGATTGATATAAAGATTTTAGTATCAATCCTAAAATGTATGACTATTTGGAGTCATGTTACAAAGTTTAGGATTAAGTTACAATTTTTAATTTCAAATTATAATTTTTTTGGGTGTGTATAGCATAAGACGGACTTATTTGCTACTGTCGTGGGCTTATTTGTTATTGGGTTAGACTTAATAGTTTGATAATTAATATTTAAATAAGATGAGAAAGAACATTTGTGGGCCTACAATAGGCCCACCCAATGAAAATTTTGTGGTTAGTTTGGCAAGTACTAATGGACCATAGATTGGGCTCATCTACAAAAAGGCCTATATTTCTACCATGGGCCATTGATTATTTTGTGTGGATATATGGCCGTGGGTATTCTTTTTATTACTTATTTGACTTTAAGTATCACAGTTAGACTTATATTCCATTACGTCATCTTTTTTATTAAATTATTGTCACAAGCACATATTTCAAATTCTTTTTTTTTTTGGTATTACTTAATTACTCTTACTATAAATACTGCCTATCATTGTTAGTTTCGATGTTTTTAAATATAATAACTCATAACTTGGGAATTGTGCTAACATTAAAATTAATTTTCTATTATATATAGACACACACATACACTAGTCATAATCTATGTCTGAAGGTACAATAAATCATAAAATTTGAACGTCCAAAAAATTTTATTCCACTATATTAAATAATATTTTTTTTCTTTTATGTCTTTGATTACATCATTTAAAATTTATGTTTATCCATTATTTTTTAAAAAATATCGACAAAATTTTTTTCAAAATATATAATTCGAAAATTTTTTCTCAACATATTTATATTATTGCGTATGAATAATGTATGAAATAAAAGTTATGTTAAATTACAAATTAACTAAATTTTACATAATGGAACATATGATAAAATTGGGTAATGTAATATTTTTTGGGGGGAAAATGTATATGGATAAAGATTCAACTTACAACCTGATTTATTTTATAGATATAACATTAAAAAGTAACATACTCAACAAACAAATAGTAACATGTTTAATAAAAAACTTTATTAAAAATTTAATCATTAAACTAGAGTGACATCATATGTGAGTACTAAAAACTATTGTCGTGCCCACAACAAAATAAGTACTTACTGTATTGTGTTACTCTATTGCAATGATTAAATTTTTAATTGAGTGTTTTTTGTGCATGTTACTGTTTGATGTTACAATTTTTTTGTTAAACATTAATATAATTATTTAGGATATTTTAGATAATGGAGATCAAAATGAACTTATTCCCAGACAAATTTTTTGAGTAAACTTAAGTCCAAATAAATCTATATAAAAAAGGATCAACCTCCAAAGTACCCTANAATGAACTTATTCCCAGACAAATTTTTTGAGTAAACTTAAGTCCAAATAAATCTATAAAAAAGGATCAACCTCCAAAGTACCCTGTTTTGTGCACCGTGTATATGAATATAGTTTACCAAGAGATGCTTTTGTGTGAATCTGTCACTAATGTGAATAGTCTGAGACTTGGGAATAACATAAAACCAAGATTTTAAAACTAGATTGTCATGAGTAAAAGACCCTTTGGACGATCAATGNATTAAGTTATAACACAAAATGTTGGGATTGATATAAAGATTTTAGTATCAATCCTAAAATGTATGACTATTTGGAGTCATGTTACAAAGTTTAGGATTAAGTTACAATTTTTAATTTCAAATTATAATTTTTTTGGGTGTGTATAGCATAAGACGGACTTATTTGCTACTGTCGTGGGCTTATTTGTTATTGGGTTAGACTTAATAGTTTGATAATTAATATTTAAATAAGATGAGAAAGAACATTTGTGGGCCTACAATAGGCCCACCCAATGAAAATTTTGTGGTTAGTTTGGCAAGTACTAATGGACCATAGATTGGGCTCATCTACAAAAAGGCCTATATTTCTACCATGGGCCATTGATTATTTTGTGTGGATATATGGCCGTGGGTATTCTTTTTATTACTTATTTGACTTTAAGTATCACAATTAGACTTATACTCCATTATGTCATTTTTTCATTAAATTATTGTCATAAGCACATATTTCAAATTCTTTTTTTTTGTATTACTTAATTACTCTTACTATAAATACTGCCTATCATTGTTAGTTTCGATGTTTTTAAATATAATAACTCATAACTTGAGAATCGTGCTAACATTAAAATTAATTTTCTATTATATATAGACACACACATACACTAGTCATAATTCATGTCTGAAGGCACAATAAATCATAAAATTTGAACGTCCAAAAAAATTTATTCCACTATATTAAATAATATTTTTTTTCCTTTATGTCTTTGATTACATCATTTAAAATTTATGTTTATCCATTATTTTTTAAAAAATATCGACAAAATTTTTTTCAAAATATATAATTCGAAAATTTTTTCTCAACATATTTATATTATTGCGTATGAATAATGTATGAAATAAAAGTTATGTTAAATTACAAATTAACTAAATTTTACATGATGGAACATATGATAAAATTGGGTAATGTAATATTTTTTGGGGGGAAAATGTATATGGATAAAGATTCAACTTACTACCTGATTTATTTTATAGATATAACATTAAAAAGTAACATACTCAACAAACAAATAGTAACATGTTTAATAAAAAACTTTATTAAAAATTTAATCATTAAACTAGAGTGACATCATATGTGAGTACTAAAAACTATTGTCGTGCCCACAACAAAATAAGTACTTACTGTATTGTGTTACTCTATTGCAATGATTAAATTTTTAATTGAGTGTTTTTTGTGCATGTTACTGTTTGATGTTACAATTTTTTTGTTAAACATTAATATAATTATTTAGGATATTTTAGATAATGGAGATCAAAATGAACTTATTCCCAGACAAATTTTTTGAGTAAACTTAAGTCCAAATAAATCTATATAAAAAAGGATCAACCTCCAAAGTACCCTATTTTGTGCACCGTGTATATGAATATAGTTTACCAAGAGATGCTTTTGTGTGAATCTGTCACTAATGTGAATAGTCTGAGACTTGGGAATAACATAAAACCAAGATTTTAAAACTAGATTGTCATGAGTAAAAGACCCTTTGGACGATCAATGACAGGAGAGAGAGATTCAACATATTGCGATGGATCTCCCCTCGCAAACTATCCTTTCATTCACGATCAGATCAAAAAACCATCGAAGTCTAAAATAACAAAATGTGTTTTCATTGTACACATTTTCTTAAATTGGAATAACAAAACCCAGATACAAAGGGATATAAGTCCATTTGCTTAAATTCCACTGCTTATGCAAATGTTGTACATATGCATACATAAAAAGAACCAACCATTTTACATTCTATATTGATCATCAATTGTTTGTTTCACCTATATATATAGGATCACCATTACAGAAATAGTTCCGTAACTGTTCTTGGGGACATGGGGCCTAAGTACATGTAGCTGATAAAGACTGTATTGGATTCTTGATGACAACTATTCTCTTGATCTCTTCGGTTTTGTGCCCCATTGAGGCTTCACAGCATTCAGGGATGTTGCTCGGATCGGGCTCTTCACACCACAAGGCCTAGTGTGCTTGATGCGCCAAGGGAAGAAAATGTCAAGGCCACACCCTTTTGGCGAAGAGTATGATTGCCTCACAGCTCGAGAAACACATCCCTCTGCAACAGTGCACGAAATAGGAAGTTTTTTGTTAACATTCTTTGAAAAAGTTAGAGCAGATGAAGCAGCCAATGCTTTTGCATCAGGAATGAATCTCTGAATCATGAAATTTGGCTTTTTTTGAGAACACCAGGACTCTATGTGTAGATTTGCAGCTCTTAGCACATTATCCTTGTCGGTTGTCTCTGCCCCCACGTCAGACAACGAGAACTTCTCGTTAGCATCTGTGAAAACATCATCATTATCATTATCGTCGATATCACCACAACCATCATCTTGATGACCACGATCACTTTCACCATTTTCCTCGCTGGTCGCTTCCTTTGGTGGATGCCATCGCCCTGGTGGGAGTTTTGGGGGTGGCACAACCGTGTCATTGGTGTCAGTTTCCTTGGGCTTGCCAGGGATTTGCTCCCATGAAAATGGGACCCTGCTGCTTCCATCACGCCTAGCACTTTGTGTGTTTGAGTTGGACATATCTCCAATGGTGACACAATTGGGACGTCTTGTTGATAGAAATGGTGCGTTGAAGTCCAGCTTTCTGGGGAATCTCATATCCATAGCTTCTTCTTCTTCTTCTTCTTTAATCTTCATTCCTAAAATATATATTGAATACTTGTGCAATGAATGGGATGCTTAAAATAATGCAACAAAGGTAGTTGGGATACAGGGATAGTCATAATATTAGAACAGTTGGAACTATGGGGTTCTCGTGCAGTCTATAAAGAGTTCACCTTAAAAGCCAATGGGTGAGATAGAGAAGAACTATTTTATGTCGTGTGGCCTTGAGACATGGCCAAAATTATATAGCTGCATGCTATTATGTTGCCGCAGATAGGTGGTTGAAGTTGACTTAATATTGTGACAGGTGTCTTCTCTCATTGAGAGACCGTTTGAGATTGGCTTGTGTGATAACCGAGCCAAGCTTGAATACTTCTTTAAGCTCCTTAGTTTTTTTTCAGCTTGGCACAAAGGCAATTTGGTAAGCTAATCAACATCTAAATAGAAATGTTAAGTTATACATGGTTCAGTTTGTAATATTAACAAATCAAGTTTGAACTTTGTCTAAAACTCATTTAAATTTCCAGCTACGTTTGAGCAAACTCCTAACATCAAACTAGGATATACTTCACGCTGGATTGTGGCTCGATCCCATGTCAACTGCCTTGGGAAAGCCTCTTGTTACTGAGGTGAACCCACTGGCCATAGGAGCTGTTTTAAAATCTAAGGGAAGAAATGCATTTATGTCGTAACTTTTTTGAGTTCCATTTGAATTGTATAACATTTTTCTTTGAGATGTTAGAAAAGGCAAACTCATACATCAGCTACAACGACAAGAAAAGAGATAAACAAATGGAGGAGTTAACGAAAATTGAGGTGCTAAAAGTTAAGAGTAATGCGTGAAATACATGGGTTTATTTGACTTTGCTCTTACGTAGACAAAATGAGATAGAAAAAATAATATAGGTGACTTAAAATAGGACCTCCCTGTATTTCATGAGAGAAATTAGAATAGAAAATTGTTCACCATTATAATAAAAGGGAACATCATAGAAAACCTTAGAGCGTATTGCTNGTAGACAAAATGAGATAGAAAAAATAATATAGGTGACTTAAAATAGGACCTCCCTGTGTTTCATGAGAGAAATTAGAATAGAAAATTGTTCACCATTATAATAAAAGGGAACATCATAGAAAACCTTAGAGCGTATTGCTTTTTTTTTTTCTCACTAACTCGAGCTTCATGACGAGGAGTGATTTCATGTACACACACCGTTCAACTGTTTCAAAAACCATCTCAATCTGTACAGAAGTGGTCTAACAGCTAGTAGCATCTGGAGCATATGATGCTACAAATTTCACCTGAATGATTCATTATCATTCCAAAAATTAAGTATGTACAGGCTATTTTGCTCCTATTTTGGTCCTGTTTTCGCCCAATTTGGAGTTTTTAAGTATGTACGACTAGTGCTGGCGCCATGCATACCAAAACAATTAAGTGGCAACAACCAGTTGCTTACAAAGATGATGAGAGAGACAGAGAGAAATGAATGCTGTTCTATGGCTTCCCTACTTGTGTTGTTGTTTGCTGGCCTGTTCCTGAGCTTTATGATGAAGCTCAAGCGTTTCCTTATGGGTAGGATCAAGACAGAGGGCTGCCTCACAATCTCGAATGGCTGAAGTGTAGTCACCCATTGATTCGTGGAATGCAGCTCGAAGATGGAGCAGCTGTAGGTCCGGCTTGAAGCCAACAGCCTTGGTGAGCTCTGCTATGGCTTCGGCTTCCTTGTGGTCATCCATTAGAACTGCAAACATTCAATCCACTGTTGGTTTCCAGTTATAAGCACAGATATGCATGAGATCAAACACAACACAATAGTGTGGCAAATAAGATCTTTACTGATAAATTATTCTCCCAGATCATGGCCAAGATATTTGTCTGATTGAACTTCAACTCATAGAGATTACAAATACCATGTTAACCAGCAATAGATTTGGTCATTCTGTGAGAAGTTATATATTAAAAGTTTCTGGTTAGACTTCTAAAATTATCCTGTCACAGTCCATTTCACTCATTTACGCTGAACTTCTCTGAGGGCCAAGTCTCTTGGATAAAACTGTTTGTAGAAATAAATATACTAGACTAAAGATCCCAGATATCACAAAAAGTTCTTTCTGTTGTACAGTAAGCGCCATTTGAGACTTGGAAAATATGCTGAACCACTTAATCCGCTGAACCACTTAATCCATGATACTGGACTAAAGATCTCAGACACCACAGAAAGCCTTCCTATTGTTCAATATGTGGCTCTTGAGACTTGCCAAATATGTTGAACTACCGAATCCATCTCTGCTGTAGCAGAATTCTAACTAGAACTTATGCAGCATAACGAAGGGAAGATACAAACAAAACAGAAAGTNTTCAATATGTGGCTCTTGAGACTTGCCAAATATGTTGAACTACCGAATCCATCTCTGTTGTAGCAGAATTCTAACTAGAACTTATGCAGCATAACGAAGGGAAGATACAAACAAAACAGAAAGCTTGACAGAATTATGGACAGACCCACACACAGAAAAATCTTGATACACCCATTCTCAACTCAACAAAGCCTTGTCCCAACATTTTTTGGGTCGGCAAATACACCCATTGAGATAAAGAATGCTTTTGAATATTGAAGATACACAAATTAGTCAGAATCAAAAGGCATCCCCCAAACTTAAAAGGCAATAGATAAGCACTAAAGTCCAAGTAACTACTACACATTAACTTAAAGAAACACCATGAAAGATGAAAAAAATACAGAATATTAAGTAGGACAATCCTGTGATTTGTTTGGGAACAGGAACTGAAGTCTTTGGACCACACACACACGATGTGAAATGTAATCTTTCCCTATGGCTATCTTTCAAACAAGTTACTCCCCAACAACCAAACAAGATCTGAAAAACGNCTGTGATTTGTTTGGGAACAGGAACTGAAGTCTTTGGACCACACACACACGATGTGAGATGTAATCTTTCCCTATGGCTATCTTTCAAACAAGTTACTCCCCAACAACCAAACAAGATCTGAAAAACGGTGCTACAGAGTACTTAAACTCAACAGTTAAGCATCTCATATTAACCATATATTGGGATGTGCATTTAAAGCATGTAGGACTCCCCAATAGCATGATTGATCCAATCAGCTGTCAGAGGGCGTAGATGAGCACAAGAGAAGGCTTATAGGTGGGCTTGACAGCCATCCAGTATGTCAAATAGAATATCAGAAATGATATTTATACATGTCTTTGCAATTTACCAATAGAAAGATAAGAGAACAGAAGAGTGAAAGCAATATATAAACCCTGGAGTATTGAAACCTAGCAAAATCCTGATTATCAAGCGAAGATAATTCTATTAACACAAACAAGGCACTAAAGAACCCACCTTTTGAGCCCTAACACTTGATTGGCCACAATCAACTTGTGCATGTAAACATAGTAGATCACAAGGTTAAAATGCCACATACAATATTACTACTGCTTCTACTACTAATGAATCAAGCATTGAACTTCCTAACAAAACAATGTAGTGCTTTGGATTCCATATTTAATTTCATAGAGTCCATTGTGCTCCACTAGATACCTTGCGATACTTATGAAAAGGTTATTTAGTCGGTAAAAAGTAAACTACAGCTTTGGCTTAAGAAGTTTTCTTTAGTTTAATGATGAGGCGCTTGGGCTTTAAAGGGTGAATTGCCAGTTTGAGTCTGTGAGCAGCTGCTTTGTGCACAAAAGTGGGACCATCACCAGTAATGCTTTCAGTAGACTTTTAGATTGTGTTCAAGAGCAAAAAGGATTGTTCATGACCCAGTTCAAATTTTTTGAAATAGAAGCTTGTACTAGTATATAGTATATAAATCTAGGGGGAACAAAACTTGATAATGTAATACGTAGTTTATGAGAAGTGTAGGCCTTGAATTAGAAGTTAAGAAAATATATGATGTCTACCTTCAATCCATAATAGCTAGAGTAGTCATCATACAAAGGTAAAAACAACTATATGATGATTATAATTCAAATTTAATTTGTAAAGATTAGGAATGCACAAACAGCATACAAAGGTGGGGGGAAAAATGAGATATATACCAACAAAAAAGCCAATGGTTATTTCATATACAGATAGCACACACACATACATGTATATGTAAATTAATCAATGTAGTGCCTCAAATAGAGGTTTTGACGACCACAGATGGATCAAAATTTCAGAAACCAGTAATGTATTTTGCTCCCTCCAACTCCAAGTACCTTTCAATTGCTGCACAAAAGGGCTGGAGCTAAACTAAGAGAATAATACGAAGCTACATATGACTTAGTTACAGTCATCTGATATAAAGGTCTACAAATGTTCACTGCCTACTCATATAGAGTGTCAAGGATTGTATCTCCAGTAAATAGACTAAGCTTCGCAGCATAGTCAACATTATCAATAGTGACCAAAATACTAGGTAAACCTTACATATGGAATATAAACAAAGGTCATAGCACTTACTTGCTGCTCTGTATCTGTAAGGATACGTCCGCAGGGGATCCAGCTGCGTTGCCATGCTAAGATCACTTTGTGCCATGTCACGGTCACAGTATTCAGAGCGTTTCTCATAAGCAGATGCATTGTCCCGGGCCTTCTCAATCAACTTTGTCATCTCATCGTATGCAGCTCTGCGCTGGTTTTTGAGATGGTACACACGTGCCTGACCTTGATGTGCTCGTGTATGCTTGATGTTGAGGGCATTCATATAGCAATCCGCAGCAAGATCTAGCTTCTCACATTCCACATAGACACTCCCCAGATTACTTAATGCCTGCAGAGCATCATGGTTACCCAGATAGCATTCTGGTGCATAGGATAAAGGTATAATGACCTAGCTGAAAAACATACTTACTTGTCCTTTTCGAAGGCCATCTGAGGGGCATCTAAGAGCTTCCTCGAGAAGTTGTATAACATACAATGAAGACTCATGATCAGAATTTGTTTCAGCTAAAACATAAGCTTTTAGGAAAAAGGCTTCAAATGATCTCTGGATAGAGATGGACTCCTCAGCCTTGGCTAATGCTTCTTCACGATGTCCTGTGTCATATAAGACCCATCCTTCATAGACAAGCCTTTCTTGCTCAGAGGTGGAATGATTTCGAGCCATCCTCAGACTCCGCATTGCAGCTTTTTGGCAGTTTAACCTATAAAAATCAGGTGGATTTATAAAAGAAAAATAGATGATAGATCTAGACAGACAGATCAATTAACTTCAAAATTTCATCTGTAGACCAAACCTCAATAGTCTAAGATGCAAGACAAGAGGTGTAAATATCCAACAATATCAATGACTAGCCTGTACTACACCAAGTTTTATATGTATTTTTTTTCTATTGATACCACCCATCCAATCCCTACCCCCACCTGCCCACCCATATGTTTTAGTTGTTCCCGTGCCATTAAATTGCAATAAAATCTGATAAAGACATATTTACTACTTAATTTTATCCGTGGGACCAAAAAAGGTGTCGAAAAAGAACAGGTGTATATCCAAAATTGTAAGCAACTAAGCATCAGTATCTTCACTCCTTAGCCTATCGATAGGAAACTCAACGTCCTCAATGCCTCTCCTGCTCCTCTCTTTTCACATATGCCATGAGAGACAAAGGCATTATCTGCCAGACCTCCTTGGATCTACTGGTTGCCAATCCGCCTCATTAACAACCAAGCAACTGATCAAATGGATCAGGAATATCTAATGCACACCAAAAAGAGAAAAACATAATGTTGAAGCATGTATATGTAGAGTTAAATAAGTCAGCATCAGGCACTACTTTATGATCTGTTACTCCCTTCAAGACGATGCATTTATCTCCTTAGATTCCTTTTTTTTTTCCCCTATGTGGTGGGCTTGAGAAGGGCCGGGGGTGGGTGCTAGAATGTAGTTAAGCGACCAAAACTATATCAAGCACACGTTATTGGCCAGTTTAACATGTTTATTTGGAAGAAAACAAAATTTCACTTCTATGCACATCTTAGCCTTAGTCTGAGTTTAAAGCATCTTGCTTCAAAAAGGTGAAAGTAATTGGCCCAGAGAGCAGAAAGATGTAGAACAACCAAATAGGAGCCTGTTGGAGATAAAAAGAATTGCACAGAAACAAGATAATAAGAGTGCAGCTACCAAAGCACTAACAAAACAGACAAGTTGAATATCTACTTTCGATTCATACTCACCGTAAAAGGAGGAGAGATTGCCGAAAGCAGACCAGGCTCTTCCCAGGGTCATTTGCCAACATATGATGTACAACAGCTAGGGAACCAATATCATCAACGGAGGACCATCGATCATAGAGCTGCATCCAGCAGTCTGCTTGACTCCACTGCTGAACATGATGGCGGAGGATCTCTACCAAGTGGTTGCCGTGCAACTTGCCATTGAACATCATGTAATTGCGATCCAAAGTCAAAAGGGCCCGGACATCTCGTAGAGCTCCTTCGTATTCCTCCAGCGAAATTAAAAACCAAGCACGTAGCTCAAGGCAGTCAGGAGAGACCTTGAAACCAATAATCTTATTGATCTCCGAAATGGCAGCTCCGATTTTATCCTCCTCCAACATTGAGACAGCCCTGTACTTGTATGGATAAGAAAGTGTTGGGTCCAATTCAGTTGTTGTATCCAAATCCATCATCTTCTCTTTACCATTACAATATAAAGATCGCTCCTGATACATCCACCCATATGGTGTATAATCAGAAACGAGCGAGTTCATCAACTTGTATGCTTTGTACTTATGACCGCGCTTATAGTTGGTCCTTGCAACACCAACCAAGGAATATACGTGACCTGCCTCCACAGCTGCCTCAAACCATTTCTGAGCATCCTTATACTCTTCCCTTTCAAGCATCACACAACCCAACTGGTGGAATGCAAGTTGTTTCTGCCAACCGTCAGTGGCACACTCTCCCAACCTCTCCAAGAGCATCACCGTTGTGTTTGATTTCATGTCATCCTCCATTGCAACCTGGCTCAAAAGGTAGTATAATAGAAAAGAAGCATGCCCTGCCAGAGCCAGTTTATCCCTAGCCTCTGAACCACAAAAGAATCTCATCACATTCGGATTGTGCATCGAACTCGGGAGCTCTCTCAAAAATACAAGCAAACAAGCTGCCACAAGAAGATGGGCGGTCTCCTCCAATCCATGTTCAATAAGTAACATAGCTCTTTCCATGTCAGTAACCAAAGATGCTAAACATGCATCACAAGCAGATTTCATCTCCTCACAGCAGTACTTATTTGCCAATGAAAGGAGCTCCAAGACAACATCTAGATCAAAAGACTCTACACTTCTTGTCCTGCTATATATCTCAGCAGCTCTCATTCCCTTTACTGTAATTCCATTTTGCGAAAAATTAATCTTCTCTCTTCGTGACTCCATGAAGCTACCATACAGCATTGCTTGGAATGGTCTTGAAAGTGAGGCAATGCTATATCTATTACACCTGACCTCATCATCACCAATATAGAAAGACATATCATAATCGTCCTCATCATCACCATGACTCCATGAAGTTGAGCATTCCTGGTCCCCCGTATAAAACTCAGCAATCCCATCCTCCCTTGGACTTCGAGGGCACATACAAGGATCATAGATTGACTCCGGATTATGCCCATTTACCAAAGCAGTCCTGGGGCATTCCATATTTCTTCCGCAACAATCCATTGCAGATGTCCCTATGAGCTCATCCTCTCTCCTCTCAAACCGTAACCATGTTGACAGCACAACTTTAGTATGGACATCAACAGCATACTGCCTAGCTGCCCTGAGGCTCTGTCGGAACAATTTGGGGTCCGTTAACCCCTTGAACATTGCACATTGCTCAAGATACATCCCAGATTTCTCGAATTGGGGACATTTATCAATTCTACGATAGACATCAGCTAAGGTTTCAACAAAATTGACGGGTTTAAGAAAAGGTTCAATCTGTGGCTCAATAAGTTCAGCTTGCGGGAGGCCATAAATTGCAAGGGCTTCAGCTACAACACCGCTATTAACATTATTGGCTGGTTGGAAGTTTTGGTAATTTCGATTAGACTTTGACCTTATCGAATTGACCCTTAGATGATCTTGGAGGTGTTGTAGCAACTTCTCTCCCACACCACCACCACCACCACTTCCGGTGGTGGTGGTGGTGGCGGCGGTCCCGGAGGGATTAATNGCTACAACACCGCTATTAACATTATTGGCTGGTTGGAAGTTTTGGTAATTTCGATTAGACTTTGACCTTATCGAATTGACCCTTAGATGATCTTGGAGGTGTTGTAGCAACTTCTCTCCCACACCACCACCACCACCACTTCCGGTGGTGGTGGTGGTGGTGGTGGCGGCGGTCCCGGAGGGATTAAAGGTACAAACTTGTGTGCTTTTACATCCGTCCACCATCTTCAAACTACGCATCGTAGTAAATATATTGTGCTGCATCTTCCCCAGATTAATGTATCAAATTCAACCCCTTCTAACCCAAAAAATTCTAAAGCAGATATATAGCTTGANTTATATAAATAGATTAAAAAATCATCAATCATTTCTCTATTATATATGTCGTTGCCAGTAGTAAGCGTGAATTCTATCATTATATTATTTCAATAAATTTTTATCATTTTAAAGCGTTACATGATAATTTTTTTATAATATTAATAATCATATTATCTCTCATTTGGTTACATAATCAAATTTTTATAGTTAAAAATAATTTTTTATAATAAAAATTATAATTGATAAAATTAATGTCATAATCTCGNGTCTTCGAGAGGAAGCTCTAGGATGATGGTAACAGAGAAAAGATGATGGTGCTGCAGGTTGTATAGACTTCAACAATGGCCGGTGTGTATTCTCTTTAATCTACTGACTTTTCTTTTTCTTTTTCTTTCTCTTTCTCCTCCGTTTTCTTCAGAAAAATTGGGAAAATGCTCCAAGACAAGTTTGTGTGGCTGTGGTTTATTGAGGCCTCTAACTAAATGTTGGTGCTGACAGGGGAGTGGGGGGTGGTGGCCGNAGTATAGGAGGATTTAATTGGTATTTTTAGGATCATTAGAGAGAGAGAGAGAGAGAGAGAGACTTTGCTGTTAAAAAATGCAAAGCAACCACCTTTTAATGAATNCGTTCCAACTTCCAACGGCCACTCTGTCTTCCTCTTCCTCTTCCTCTCTCTCTCTCTATATATGTGTGTGTGTGTAAATCTATATCTATATTACGTATCGGTATGTCTCTGTTCCTATCTCCCCCTCTCTCTCTCTCCTTACGGAGACCTCTGGTGGTTTTGTAATGTCCGCGCGTGAAATCCGTTAGAAATGGACAGCCGCAGAAGAAGGCCGTGTACGATTTTTGTATGTTCTCTCTCTCCATTTTCAGACCCACAAATGTCGGGCCTATGACAGAAGAGAAGAGAGGAGCTTTATTATCTAACTGCACGTGAGTTGCATACTAATAAAAATCTGCAAAATTATATTTATATAGCATATTAATAATAATTAGAAGGGTTGGCATGAATACTTTTAGGTTANCCGTGTACGATTTTTGTATGTTCTCTCTCTCCATTTTCAGACCCACAAATGTCGGGCCTATGACAGAAGAGAAGAGAGGAGCTTTATTATCTAACTGCACGTGAGTTGCATACTAATAAAAATCTGCAAAATTATATTTATATGGCATATTAATAATAATTAGAAGGGTTGGTATGAATACTTTTAGGTTNTGAGTTGCATACTAATAAAAATCTGCAAAATTATATTTATATAGCATATTAATAATAATTAGAAGGGTTGGCATGAATACTTTTAGGTTATTTTTTTTTAATTTAAACAATTATTTAAAAAAAATTTATTTGTTGTGTAATAACTTCTAACACGGATGATGAACTTATCTTTATCGGTTGTTGGTAAACGTGGCCCACCATTGCTTTTCTTTATTAAAGTCTCAATACAAATCATATTTGAAAAATTTTATTCATGTGAAATCGTAAATAGGTCTAAATTGTATGACACGTTCTTCAAATTTTAAAACTTCACTGCACACCCTTTTAGTTTATATTTTCAAATTAATGATAGTCATTAACGATAACTTTTGCTACTATCAATAAATAAAGTAATAATTTAAGTAAATATTTTATAAAATTATCTAAATTATCCTTTGTTATATAAATAGATTAAAAAATCATCAATCATTTCTCTATTATATATGTCGTTGCCAGTAGTAAGCGTGAATTCTATCATTATATTATTTCAATAAATTTTTATCATTTTAAAGCGTTACATGATAATTTTTTTATAATATTAATAATCATATTATCTCTCATTTGGTTACATAATCAAATTTTTATAGTTAAAAATAATTTTTTATAATAAAAATTATAATTGATAAAATTAATGTCATAATCTCGTCAATTTCTAACTCCTCAACTATCGTCTGTTTTTCACAACGTCACTTGACCACTCTTCACACATCACCCTTCATATATAAAATTTAAAATATTATTTGATAAAATTTAATATTAATTGAATAAATTCGATCTTAATTTGATAAATTTCAATATTAATTTGGTGTTAATTTAATAAAATTAAATATTAATTTATTGTTGATTTAATAAAATTTAATATTAATTGAATAAATTTGAATGTTACTTTAATGAAACTGAATGTTCATTTAGTGTTAAATTAAATAAATGATATTAATTTGATAAGGTTAAATGTTAAATTAATGAAATTTAATATTAAATTTTAATTTAATAAAATTGAATATCAATTTGATGTTGATTTGATGAAATTAAATAATAAATTAATGTTAAATTAAAGAAATAATATTAAATTGATGAAATAAAATATTAAATTAATATAACTAAATGCTAATTTTATAAAATTAAATATCAATTTTATGTTGATTTGATGAGATGAAATGTTAATTTAATTTAAATTAAATAAAGGGCATCAATTTGATTAAATTAAATATTAAATTGAAGAACTTAAAGACTAATATAATACAACTAAAATGGAGTGCATTGAATTTTTAGGGATGGAATGTTGTTAAAGTTAAGTCTATTTATAGGGGGTGTTATTAAAGCTAGATCTATTTATAAGAGGCGTGGATAAATTTTATCCTATAAAATATTTGGACGTATTTCTATAAATCAACGATCGCTGTTAACGTCGTAACTCGACAAGCACTGACAGGGGTGACAATGAAATTTTAAAATTGAGAAGGGGTGAATGAAATTTTCCCATCATGTTAAATATCAAAGTGTCAATAATTTTATTTGGATGCTCCAAACTCGTTTAATTGGCTTTGAGCAAAGAAAATGTATGATTTGTTTTTTTTTTTTTTTTTCAGGTAAGTATGTATCAACCGAGAGAAAAGAAAGTCATAGCCTTCAATTTTTTGTTTAGGGATTATATTTTTTAATTAAGAAATAATATGATTGACAAACTTGTTATCATAACATATAACATAATGATCAATTGCATCATCGTGTTAAGTCTAAATAACATCCTTGTGTAAAAAAGTTAAAGGATCGAGTGTTGGAGAGCCTATAAAAACTTGGTGTTCGGTGATTGAGAATTGGGTCAAAAATGAATGTGGTGTGGATATTATTTTTAAAAAAAATCAAGATTTAGCAATGATATGCTATCCGAATTGCACAAATCGAAAGGAATCAGAATGTTTGAGATTAGTGTGTGAATTTAGCCGAGTAAGGATTCGACGCTCGGTGTGTGTTATTCGAACTGGTGTATGTGAGTATAGGAGGATTTAATTGGTATTTTTAGGATCATTAGAGAGAGAGAGAGAGAGAGAGAGACTTTGCTGTTAAAAAATGCAAAGCAACCACCTTTTAATGAATGCTGTTAAAATGAATAGTTTACTTTTAAGCTTAGCATAATGCTCTTTAATTAGCGTGCGGCTAAAGTTATATGATACTCCAGTAGTAGCTGTAGTTATGATCAGCGGTGGAGCCATGTTATGGCCGAGGGGCCGTGGCCCCCTCAATTTTTTAAAATTATATATTGTACCTTTAAAATTATATTTTGATTATATTATATTATTCAAAATTTTAAAATTATAATCTATGCATTAAATTATAATCTTGATTTTATTTTATCTTCTCGGCTATTGATTAAACCATGTTGGACCACTACCTATTAAAATTGTGACTTTTTTGTATGAATTGTTAAATTTTGGTATTTTAAATTTATAAATTTTAGACTATTTTAAATTATTAATGGTGCAATTAATTTGACTTTTACATCTAATAATTTAACTAATTTTGATTAACTTTATTTATTTTCTTGAAAATAATAATTATAATATACCGGTAGTGGACTCAAATTTTTAATCAAATCAAAAAAGATACAAACTTTTTACACAAATCATCAATGACAAGATTTTATTCTCCTTTAAAAATTCAATAATCATATTTCACTAATTTTTAAATTTAAATTTGTCATTTTTTTAAATTTTAATTTATCCTCTTTTAAATTTGAATTTGTCTACTAAAATCCTTTGTATCAAATTAAATTTTTTACTAAAATATTAACTGAATTTTTTATTTAAATTTAAGTTAAGATTAAATATGCTCGATCTAACTTCAAGTGAGGGTTGCAAAAAGCTTCATAAAGTAGCTAACGATGATGCTGTAACATAACACCAAAAGCTTCATAAGTAGCTAACAATGATGCAGTAACCTAACACCAACAATGCCTCTCTCTCTCTCTCTCTCTCTCTCTCTCTCTCTCTCTCTCTCTCTCAGATTCTACATACAACATTTCCTTAGATCGGAGTGAATCTGATACTCCGAAATTTTGTGTACCAATGTTGTGAACCTCATACAACCAAATTCATAATTTTAATAAACATTGATGTCCGTTCATTGATGTCTAATGAAAGACAAGAACGGCTATTCTATCAAGCATTGACCTTACCCAATTTAGTCACATATTGGTAGCAAGAAACTTATAGGGGGTGTTTGGATGGCAGGATATTAGATATTAAGCCCATGAATTGGAGAAAATTGAAGTGGGTTCCATTTATCTCACGTTAGGGAAGCAAAAATGGTGGTGGGAAATCCCATTCAGGTCTATCTTGGACCCGGAATACACAATAACTTTTATCCATTCTACTTGGGTTAATTGTAACCCACCAAGATGGTGGGTTAAGTTAATTTGAGCTCAGGTGGGATAAAATTTGTTATTACTATTTTGCACCCAATAGTTAAAGATTATGTTTGGTTTGGTAGGAAAGTAGAAGGAATATGTTTTCTATCATTCAAGGATGAAAAATAGGAATGATATACTTTCATTATTTTGTGTTTGGTTGGATGGATGAAAAATGAAAATGACTAATTTTTATTTTAAATTTTTTTTATGCTGGCTAAGATTATGGGTGACAATCGAGTCGTGTTGTGTCAGATT